CCCCAAAACCCCAAAACCCCAAAACCCCTGAGGGTTCAACCAGGTTGAAGTATGAATTTTGAAACAAGAATGAGAGGAAATGTCTTGCAGGAGTTTTATGGAGTCTAGAGAAGTGAGTAAGGAGATTTTGGGATTTTAGTATGAGAGGGTTAGGCTGAAAAAGGAAAAATTTTCAATTCAGATTTTTGGGTTAAGAAATGTATTAATCTTCTTACTACCTCTACAGTTTATTTAATACTAACCTTCCCATCCAAATTTTACTCTTAATCTCTCCATCTTCCCTCCAAAATCTGTATAATATCCTATATTTATAAATACCCTTACCAATCTTTCTGCTATGTTTCTCAACAATAAGCTAAACTTAATTTCTAAATTCTAATTTAAGGAGCATTATGAGTGAAAACCCTGGACAAATCACTATGTATCTAATCAATAAGGCGTAAAAATCATAAAGCGTAAAAACATCTTGCAATAAAATTCTAATAGGAGTTGCTTATTTTTACCACTGCTTATAAATTCGAAAATTATGATAAGAACTATCTATTTCTCATTAGGTTCTTTCTTACCATCTATCTTGTTTTAAAAATACCTATTTCCTCTTTAAAGGATATTCCTAAAATTATAAGAATAGTATTTTATAAGAAATTTTCCATAGGAAAGCTCAAAGAAAACTTGCACTTAAATTCTGAACCGAGTGGTCCCTTCTCTTGTCCAAGATTTAATTTTTAAGAACATCTTGGTTCTGTTAGTACACAAATCAATGAATCCAAAAACTTCAGGGAATTCTCAGGTAATTTGTTATGTGTGTACAAACCTTTTATGGAGTTACCCTCAATTCTATGGAGATTATAGAAAATTTATAATATTCAATTGAGGTTTACCAATTACTGAAAGCATTATATTTACAATTCAGCAAAAGTTTACCACCTGGTATTAGAAATTATAATATTGATCATGAATAATTTTAGAAATATGTGTTGGGGGTCTTGGGACTCTAGTTGATAAAGTCAGGCAATGGTCACTTTGAGATAATAACTCAATCCATAATACCGCATTATTTAGAAAAAGACATGAATTTATCTATATAAACATCAAAGTTTGAGATTGATTGTGGATATTAAGCTCTAAATTAAGTTAGCTATTCTGCATTGATAAGTAACTCTTTTTTAATTTAACTTGAACAATGAATCAATGATCTTAAATCGCTATTTTCAAAATTACTTAACTATTTGAGAATCTGACAAATAGAGAGTAATACAGATCTGAGTATACTCTTGGAAGGTTATAAGGTAGTCTAAACCGCTTTTAAACATGAAATTCTGTGCACAGATTGTCTTTCAGGTATCTGTGCCACCTTTAACTAGGATAGGTATGTGTACAAAATTTTGAAATTTTACGTTCATTATCTTTTAACACCAAAAACAAGGTTTAACGATATGTAAACTTCTAAATACTTCCAAGAATTAGAACTCTTATACATTGAGAAGAAAATGTTTGATTATAAATATTGTGATTATTAAGTTAATTAGGAGCCAAAATATCTTCCATTGTCACTTCCCTCTTTCAGATATAGGGAGAGTCAACAGAATCATCCTCAATTTTCTCACAGAGGATGTGGCGTTCAGAGGAGTATTTTCATGAGTTTCTGATCCTAATTGCTCTTTGAAGTAAGCCCTTAATATCACTCTGAAGGCTCGGTTTTAGGTGTGAATTTTCTTTTCAAGAAACTTCTGAAAGTTTGGAATAATTTGTATGATCCATCCTGTTCTTGGAATTATGTACATATTTCTGAAATTTCTGTACAGGTAAAGAAGGGGTTTTCATCAGTTTACTTCCTTGAGGTTTCCTTTCAAATGGGTTATTAGACATATTCTTAACCAGCTGAATCGACGTCCTAACCCTTGAAGGAACAACCTTTTCATCTAAGACTTCCTCATCCAAATTTTCATCATACTGTTGAATAATACTCATATTTTATAATTTATATCATCCCCAATCCGATCTTTATATAACGGGGTTTTGGGGTTTTGGGGTTTTGGGG